CTTGTTTTAGACAATTTATGACGGTTTTATGAAATGTATGATATACTTAATCTCTATAAATCTTGAAAAATATTTTATAAAAAAAAAAAAAAAAAATAGTGGGAATCGAACCTCGGCTTACTTGTTCCAAAGCTCGGCGCTTAATCCACACAGCCACACTGGCACATTCTCAAACAACTATTTTTCAAATAATTTAATGATTTTTTTAAAGAGCGCTTGACGCAATCCAATTTTCAAACTGTAAAACTTGATAAATGTTTCAGTATGCTTAAACATATGTTTTATCATTACTTAATTTTAAGTTTACGTACGTTAAATTTTTGGATACGCGTTTGTTCACGTTTTGATATAAAACAAAGCTGCTGCAACCCTTTTTTGCCATTAGTTTGCTTGCAACGGTTGCCAAGAGTACCGTGTCGAAAGTGCATTATATATATATATATATATATATATATATATATATATATATATATATATATATATATATATATATATATATATATATATATATATATATATATATATATATATATATATATATATATATATATATATATATATATATATATATATATATATATATATATATATATATATTGTTTATAAAATGTAAAAAGTCCATTTATATAACGTTTTTTTCAGGACTGTATGTAATAAAAGTAATGATTTTTTGTAGGTATGTTATTATACTTTAAAAAATTGAAAAGGTTGAAAAACCAAAAAACACAGGGTTCCGAGAGCGCGGCGCTAAACTAACTAAAGTTGAACATTTCATTATCATCGCATACAGAAAAAAAGAGTAGAATGGGCAAACCCTAGCAAAGCATATTGTCTCATCCATGTAAAGAATTTTAAACTTTAATTTTAGATTAGCCCCTCTTTTGATAACTTCTGAAAGCTAAACTTACGTCATTTGATTCTTAGACCATTAAAAATGATAGGCGAGGCTTTTTCGTAAACCGTTGAATCTACAATTTAATTGCATATATGACGTCACCTTGTGGAAAAACAATCTAAAAAAAAAGGTTTTAAGTTTTTTAAAAAAACTTTATTTATTAAAGATATATGGAGTATATTTTTATAGGATAGGTTCTAATAAAGACAAAAACTATTTGTTTATAACTATTGCAATAAATAAAACAAATCTTTTATCCATGAAATGATATATCTGTTTCAGTTTTTTATCTTTCTATGTATTTGTCTACAATAAAGTTAAAATTAATAAAAAATATATTACATAAATGCAAAAGAAACTTTACGCATAAAGATTTACTTTGCCACAAAACAACGTCAATGGACAATTTTTTTTTCGCCTAACTTTTATATTAGCCTTTAATATTATTCTTTAGTTTATAATCATAATCAAAAGAATGAACTTTTTTTTGTGACTTTGTTTTAGTGGTCGAAGGTCTTTTTAGTTCCATTTTTATAGCGTTACGTACAAACGTCTGTAAGTGTAAGTGTCTTAATCATATGTTGAGTTTGCAGGCATTTTAAGGAATAGTTGCGTATAATATATATCTATAAAATAAGTAAACTTTAAAATTTTATTTTAAATTTTAGGTATTTTTGCTATATTATTACTTTTTTGCTATAATATTTACAAGCAAGATTGATAAAATTTCAAAATTTTTTACGCAAAGAGGAGGTCTTAAACCTCTAAAACAACACTGACGACAACGCACTTAACTTTTGAACTATAAATGAAATGCATTTAGTATTTTCCTAGCTTTCTCTCAGTTTTCTCAGAGTTAGCTAACTTCCAGACATGGAGCCAATTAAATTATTTAAGCGTTTTTGCTAATCCTTTTTTTTTTGCAAAACATCCTTATAAAAAAAGATGCTTCAAAAATTGCGACGTTTGAAACCCTGAAAAAATGCCACTATGTTAGATTTAATTTAAAAAAGTTATTTAGTCGGTAATTAATTTGAAGTTTTATTAACTGATTTTATTTTGCTATAAGGATGTTGATAAAAATCACTATGAAATCAGGTTTATAAAGTTTTCTATAAAAAAAAAAAAAAAAAAAATTAAATCCTACCGCATTCTGGTTACACCATTATTGTGAATAAGTTATGAAACTTTGTTACTTATATTGTTAAAAATCAAAAAGACAAGGAACTAAAGTGATTTAGGAATGATCGATACTTGCTATTTCTTTTTATTTAATATTCTTTTTTTTATTTTTTCACAACATTCTTTCTTTTTATTTTGTTAATATAATTTGTCACATAAAATAATAAATTTTTTTTTAGTAATTACGACTTGAGATTTAAAAGGAAATTTTAAGAGTTTCAATCAATTAAGTTAAAAAATATTTCAAATCAAATGTTTACAAGATACGGAATATAAAACTACTAAAAATATTCATTTAACTGTAATTTAAAAAAGTATTTTCTATTAGAAATGCTTTTTTAGCATGTTGTTTAAATAGTTTTTACTTAAATAACTAAATAATACAAATTATGTTCAAAAACTATCAGTTTTACATGTTTTTAGAAAGCAACTTGTACTGCCAACCTCAGTTGAATATGCAATTTAATTGGCTATTAATTGAGTAAGTTATTTTTCTTTAAGTTTATAGATAAATATCTAACGCTGCTTTATCATAATTTGCAGAATTTTAAGGTTTTATACATATCATTGATATAAATAAAAAAACTGGTGACAATATGCAAAAAGAATTACAAGTGTACATTTTGGGTTCCAGTTTGCCCACTTAAAATATTGATATTGTTATTTTCCTAAAAGACTTGATTTAAACTGTAAGATTGTCAGTGCTCTAACGTCATAATTTAAATTTTTAAATATTTCAACAAATTGTTTCAACAATTTGTTGAAATATTTAAAAAAGTTTCAACAGTGTCAACAAATTGTTTTCGTAAAAAAACACTTTGCAATACTGAATGTATCAAAGGCCTTTCAAAGGTCGATAATGATGCCACATTTAAACATTTCTCTATCAAGAGTTTTTTTAATGTTTTTAAACAAGTTTTATAATAAAAATAAATATTAAACAATTTGTTTAAAAATATGACGAAAAGAAATCTTATTCTGTACCTTTTCAATTCAAGTTTAAAATTAGTTTTAAAGATAGACACACCTTTAGCTGACATGAAAAATGATCTTGATATTTGTGGGAAAACACACGAGAAAAACTTTGGAGTTTTATGTAGTTATACAGATATGATTTTTGGTCCTGGCACTAAATTCAAAGGAGTTGTTAACTTTAAAGATTTTAGTAGATATTCGTTGATTTAGTGAAAAAAAATGTCTTACATTAGTGAAATATTTCAATATAAGTTTTTAAAATAATGCAGATGTAGTTAGGGTTTGTTATTTTCGTATTACTGTGGGTAAGTATATTAGGTTTTGTGTCGAAAAAAGATTTAATTTTGACTACATATAAGAAGTTTAATATTAAAGTGTATGCAAATATATTAGCTATGTTAATTTTGAATTATGTAATGTTTGAATGTATGTCATGTTTTACAGTTTATCTTTTACCTAAAAACTAGATTGTGGCAATATCTCATTAGTTTTGTTCTATAGCATTTATCTGCAGGTAGAAAGTCTTTTGTTTCGTTGATATTAATATAACCCTTAAGGTATGTTTACAAGCCAGAGTTGTTAGCTTGCTGGGCTTTAGATGTAAAGTGCCGTGGTTTAAATCCTTATTTCCCCAATATCTTTTTTGAAAAAAATTCTTTTAAAATTTTTGAATAAAGATAAAACACTTTTGAAGTTCTTTGTATATTATAAGCATAACATATAGTTACTTGGAATTTTTAAAAATGCGTAAAATTTCGTGCATAAAACCATCAAAACCATCAATTTTATAAAACCATTAAAACCATCAAATTCATACGTAAAACTATAAAAACACCGGGTGAAAATTGTTGCGCCTAAGTCTTGAGAGAGATACTTATGTTATTAATGTGCTCAGGTAACTAGTCATAATAAACTGCAGATGGTCTCACAAAAAAAGACCTGCTATTCCAAAACGTTTTGCTGTGAAGACAATTATCGCTAATTTTTTTTTTTCTATAACTTTATACGACCAGATTAAAAAAAATGTAGGCATATTGTGTTTAAGGAAAGACTTAAACCCTCCAAAAACGACACTGATGATAGCGCATTAAACAACTGATCTATAAAAGTTACGCCTGTAATAGAATAAAAAAATGTTATAAACTCTTATACCTATTGCAATCAATTAACACTCTTCAAGCGGGTTTTTTAAAAAAGCTCAAATTTATTACATAGCATCTAACATAATATAATCATAAGCCGATATATAGTATTGAAATTTAAAAAGTCTATATTTATAGTTTAATCATCATGATAGCGCAGTTGGTTAGAGCTCTACAAAAGTTTGGAGTTTTATATTAGCCGTAATAGCATGGTTGCAAATTCAAATACCGGTTCTTCCGTTTCAATGTACAAATACTCCATGCAACTAAAGTATAAAACAAAAAAACTCTTGAAAAAAAAAAGCCGATAATTTTAAAAGAATCCGGTTTTAAAATCATTTAATTTTTTTCACGAAAATTATTTAATTTGAATGTTCAAATTAAGTCAAATTTTGACTAAATTTGAACATAGTGCGCCAATAAAAACACTTGTAGAATTTGAACCACTTAATATAATTTGATAAAAGTTAATGCAAATGTAGCCAATAGTCACACCAAACTCTAGACAAAATTTCAGCTTGATTGAATGACTGGTGCAGGATTTATTGCAGTTTTAGTTAAAGTTTTGTCAGCTTTTCGCTACTTATAATTCAAAGCGTTATCGATTACTTTGAAATTCGGTCACTATTTTTAAAAATACGGTTACATGAGTGTTCTACTATGTAATACCAACAACTTTTGTTATCATTATTTTATCATTTACAGCTTTCATTTATAGACAAAAAAGATTTAAATAGCCTTATGCTAATAATGTCGACACTGCCTTCAAAGTAGAAAGGGTCAACCCCACAATTTCTAAAATAAATTTCATAATTTCAAAAATAATTGCCTATATAAAAAAAAAGTTGACCTTATAAAAAATTTTGAATTTAAACCGGATTTTTCACATTGTATTACCATCAAATATCTAAATACATTTTAAAAATCCATTAAAAGATTATTAATAAATAGCTCAAAATACTCTTTTAATACAAATACTCTATAACACTACTTTTAAGTATGGTGAAAATATTCATTATACGCCGTAAAGTATGAATTTCAACAGCCTAATTTCTAATGACTCAAATGATGTTCTTAAAAGATGCTTGTTACGCTTGCACTAGTTATCATTTGGTCACACTTATTGAAATTTTAATTTTTTTTTATCAAAATCTGGCTAAATGATGCATCCAAAGCAAGCCTTTACAATTAAATTGAAGCTTCTAACTCCTTCAATTATGCACACAATATTGGAAACCAAATTTTTCTGAGCAAGTTGGTGCAGCCACATTTTTAAGAAGCTTCCTGCATTAATTTTCCTCAAACTAAACCCCGTGATACGGGCTCAGTTAAATGTGGAGAGCGGCTGGCCACTTAATCGCTTATATTCAAGCAGTTTTAAGGATCTTGAAAAGATGGTTGACAACTCCTAAGAGGAGATGCAATTCCATCGGTTGAATGATTTCCAAAATCAAAACAATGACAGGCCCGCAGATCATTGGCTTTCAAATGATATTGTCAAACAGCTTTGCATTAGCAACAACCCCGACAGATTGCTAAAAAGACTCAAGGCTTGAATTAGATTTCCAGATTTACAGATTTGGCAAGACAATCGGACATGACGTCACACCAGCTACAAGGGTACGTGCTTGAATGAGTTTGAAGACCACAAATTATATTTGCAACTTTTATATCACAAGCCAAAAATAATTTAACTCCATTTGCCTTAATCAGTGACCAGATTTGTTCAATATAAGAGTGTGTTTCTTGCAATTTTTTGTAAAACCCCAACAATAATTTGTATCTTGACTCCAGTGTCTTTACCAGTTCTTTGAGTGAGAAGTTGTTGTTGGTGCGGTGAGCTGGTTTTGTCTCTTAACGCAGTATCAATAATGCTTAGGCAAAATATGAGAAAATCTTCGCCACTATCAATTCGGAGCTTAAGGAAACAGCTACCAGAAATTTTGCGGGACAGAATTTCATGATTCACAAGATTGGATAAATCATTGCAGAGAGCAACTATAGAGTTTGGAAGGGACTCTAGCATTAATTCACATAGATAAGATTACTTAAATATATATTTCTTGAAGATACGTCTCGTTATTTACAATCACAAACTTGGATCGCGCCAAGTGCTTAGCTCGTGGTGAAGAAAGAAGCGTAAGAGAGCGAGACTTGCTTCGCGTTCAGTTAAATATACAAAGTAAGAAAGCATACGGGCTGTTGCGTTAGCAAACTAACGCAACACTGCGGCCGGCACTAATAAATTGTTATTAAAATGTTTCTCTCGTTAATAAATGTCACTTGAATTAAATGTTCTTTAATCAAGTCATGCCTTTCTAGGAGGTAAAGTTTACTTGCAGTTCTTTTAAGAATATTTGGTTTGTCGCCAGAGATCACGCGTAGTTCAGCAGAACGTACTTGATTATCACTTGAATTAAATATATTTCGGATAACGCCCATTTTCCAAACTGAAAGCGGAACTTTTGGATCGTCTATCAATACAACATCTCTAATTTTCATATTAAACCCCCAACTTTGGTGTGTCACATTTGTGTGCATTTCTCGTAAGTTTATTAAGTATTCATTTTTCCATTTGTGTCTATAATGATCCAAAATCGCTTTTTGGTGTAAACACTTCTGCTTATCATTGCTTTGATCAATAGTTAAAATGTTAATAAAATTCACAGATTCTAAAGGTTATTTTTGTCCTAACACGAGATGATTTGGCGTTAGAGGCTCGTCGCCGGGTACTTCATACAGAAACGTAATCGTCTGGTTGTTTACAACAACTTCAATTTCTGCCAAAATCGTTAGTATTTCTTCATAATTAACTCTTGATGTTTTTAGAACCTTTTTAAGTACTCTCTTGGTAGTTCGGATCATTCTTTTGAATACCCATCCCCACCAAGGAGCAGCAGGAACATTAAAACACTATCGTATACGCATTGAACTGGAGAAGATTTAAGTTTCTTCAGCAAAAAAATTTGAAAGGGTGCTACAAAGCGGCTTATAATACGACGAAGACCACGAATGCAAGCTTCCGCTGTACAATCGGGAACCAAATCTAAATAGAGAAAACGTGTATTACAACATGTAGCAACATATCCACGCTTTATACTATACATCACATTAGTTTCATAAATATTCTTAAGCATGATTGGTCCGCAAATATCTACTCCCACATATTAAAAATGCATATTCATTACTAATTCTAGATAGGGATAGAGAAGGAGAATTAGAATACTTAAAAGGTTTACTGTCAAATCTTCTACAAGTGTGACAATTTCTAATTATATTTTTAATTAATTTGCGACCTTATGTTAACCAAAACTTAGTTCTTAATTCATTAAGTGTTTCTTTAACACCACTATGTTTAGTAAGA